TCCAGGAGCCACGTGCCAGCCTGGCACCGTGGTGGCCACGGGGCCACCAACACTGGCCGGGGGGTGGCCAGGCATCAATACGCTTTTGGTCAAGCTTCAAAAGAAGGCAAAATCAGTGAATCAGAATTCGCGTGTCCTTTATCGTGTGGGATCATGTGTTTGCTTTCAGAGTCGATTTTCATTTTCACAAGTCTGATGCTAAGTGCCAAGCTCTTGCTTTTGAAATCGGAAGCCCAGAACTAGACAGCTGGGGTATTTTTCCTAGTTCAGAAGTTGCCTTTGTGTTTTTCGCATTTTTTTTTGTTAAGCTCTGTTTTCTGATCTCATAACATGGACAAAAGTAATGCAATACAGAGCATAATTGTCTTTAAAACATCATCTCTATGAACTCATTCCCTTTTGCAAAGGAAATGAGCTTTTCTGACCTGTGTTCTCTGTGCAAGATGTCAGAAGAAGGCAAAAAAATAGCTGTTTGGCACAGAGGCAGTGCTTTTAGCAGCAACAGAAACTGGGAGAGAACAGCCAATGCCTTGTGCTGCAAACAGGAATCGGTTCGTGACGGTGCTGTGAGAGCAACCGTGTTTAGGGCTTAGTTGCCCTGATGCTGAGCGCGCAAGTGATGCCGGTTGGAGCTGGCAAATTGGAGTAGGAGAACGTGGAACAGTTGCTGCTGTTACGAGTGTTTATCCCTGGTTTATAGAGGCCTTTCTCCCTTTGCTTTCGTGGCTCAAGGGATTTTAGAGGAGTTCTCCTGCTTCCCGGGAAAGTAAGTTAGAGCCAAACCAGGCCCCAGACTTCCCAAGCCCCGGGCTGCGGCTGAGGGCTGATTTATGAGGAGGGTTTTCCTGTGTTTCCAGGGGGATGTGATCTCCCTTCTGCATCGTGACATCCCTGTGCTGCAGGTCCTACCAGCTGGCCTGCTTTCTGCTCCCCAAATGGAGCTTTTCCAGACATGGTGCAAATCTCCTCAGCTCGTATAACAAAACTGCTTCAAACTGAGAGGAGTCCGTGCAGAAGTCTGATCTGGGCCGTATTTCTTGAGTCACACTGATGAGCTATTCCTGCTTAAAGAAGCTGCAACTCGCAGCTGTTAAAGCTATTGCATGTCCAGGAGGATTACGTGCCCCACTGAGAAACTGGAGACTCTGCTTGGACAAGAGCAGCACAGTGCTTTGTTTCTTCCAGCATTTATTGCCAGATACAAGTCACTTAACCTTGTTTTCCTCTCTGGAAAATGTGCTTGGTGGTGGTTACCAACACCACACGAGCGTCCCATTGCCGAATTAATGAGCAGTCCATCGGTAACGTGTTTTGAAATCATCAGACAAAATTAACTGATTATTTACCAATTATATATATATGTATATAAATCTTACTGTTTTTTATATAAATTTATCTTCTACTTTTTTTTCCTACAGGAAAAAACTAAAGTGGTTGAACCGCTGGACTACGAGAACGTGATCCTTCAGCGTAAAGTTCAGATCTACAGTGACCCTCTCCGGGACCTGCTGATATTTCCAATAGAAGATGTGTCTGTGAGTTTGCGCTGGTACTGCTCATATTTGAAGCTCACTCATGTCCAGTCCTGCTCACTCTGGAAAATTTCTACTCGTAGCCACGTATTGATTTTGGCTGTGTTACCAACACATAAAACTGAAATAACTCGCTGCTGTTTTGGGTCTAATATATTAATTAAAAGTGAGTCTCGAGTCCTAAAGACCTTTTCTGTACTGGCTCCATTTTCTCCTTTTCCCTGCAGATCTCGGTCATTGGTCGACAGAGAAGAACTGTCCAGTCTACAGTGCCAGAAGATGCCCTAAAAAAAGCTCAGAGTCTCTTTGTGAAAGAGGTAAGAGGAAAAGTCCCACCTGCCTTTAGTCCTTTCTCTCTTAGGTAATAAGAATTGCACAAAGCTGTTGTGTAAAATGCTGCTCTCTGAGACCATTCCCACAAATGCAGTGGAAATAAGTCCCAAGTGATGCTCAGTGTTGAATTAGAAGCACCACGCCTGTAAGGGCAGGAAAGTGGGCCTTTCTGATAAACAGTTCCCTCAAAGTAACTACTCATTTTTTTAAATTCTCAGATTTATGTAATTAAATTAATCTACAGCTGCGTAGCAGAGCAGATGCTGTGTGTTTTGTGTCTCTAAAAATGTTCCTTATGAATTTCTGTAGTTCAATGCAATTCGTACCACTTCGGCCTGGTGCAGGTTTGGTGTTGCTCATTGCAGCTTGCGAAGAACTGTGCTGTTTTCCTTTCAGTGCATCAAAACCTACAGCTCAGACTGGCACGTGGTGAACTACAAGTATGAGGAATACTCGGGAGACTTCCGAACGTTGCCATGGTCAGTGCTGCTCTCCCCTGGAATTCTGATGTGTTGTAACAAGGTTGTGGTTTGCTCTGGCTGGAGAGGGGCAGCCTGCCCCAATGTTTCATTTTTCCTGCATCCTGCAACCAAGCTCCTGCCCTGAGGAATGTCCCGCTCCGGAGGTTTGAGAGCCGGCGATGGGTGCTACCGTGTCCCTCTCTGATTTCTGAGAGAAATGGGGTGTCATTGCTGATCCGATATCGTTTACATTTGTGGAAAATCTTGCTATCTCGTGATTTGGGGCTCTTTTGCAAGCTGGGAGATAGACTGGCCTGCTGTTTCCTATATTGCACAAGTGCAAGTCAGCAAAAACTGCGGTATCGGGCAGTAACATGAGAAAAGCCAATTGCTTGCAAATTGTGCTTAAGTACCACAAAATGCACTCAGAAATTAGCTCTCTAGCTGTACAAGGCTGTAGATCTGGTGAAATCTGCAGGATGACCCTTCTGGTATGCTCCATAATCTGTGGTTTAGCTACCAGTACTTGATCCAGCATCAGATAATAGGCGCAGAGGACCCTTATTCCCCAGTCATTAAAAATTAAAATGTATTATGATTTCAGCAAATCCTTTAGGCCAGACAAGATTCCAAGCCATGTATTTGAGATTGATGAAGACTTTGAAAAGGACGAGGTAAGTGGATTTTTTATTTTTCTTTTAACCTGTTGCTCTGTAAAATCTGTTACAAAGCAGATTTCACAAGGCAAAGTCAGAATACATTTCCCAGGAGTGACTTTCTGCTGAGATGTTTTGTCCTGCAGATTTGGGCCAAAAGTAGGACAATGATTTATTTGGAAGTGTTGTAACGAATCTCCTTGATTAAATGGAAGGTTAACTTTAATATTTTTCATGGCACTTTCACTTGATATGGTGCAGCAGCAGAAAAGAAGGAAGCCAAAAATATTACGAAGTGAAATTCTTTGTGTCTAAAATGGAATGTGGACAAGTTGGTTTTCAACTACACAGTAATATGGTAATATCAGAGGTAATATCAGACCTTAAAGCAGGTCGAAATGGAATGTGGACAAGTTGGTTTTCAGCTATACAGTAATATGGCAATATCAGAGTCCTCTTAAAGCAGGTCATGCTCTGCCTCATAACAGACAGTTCTTAATCAGTCACTTATACCCACGTATGCCTTGTGTACTGTATGGGCCTGACCCACTGTGAAAATAATACAAACTTGCAAATATTTGGTGGCATTCACTTCCTCTGGAGGTTGCATATATGCACTAACCCTTCTTGTAGGGAAGATTTGCAGCCCTGAAGCTCTTCCGTTTGCATGAGCTAGCAATTCTAAAAATCCAGGAATTTCAGTCACTTTGGGCTATAGAGATTCTCTGTTTCCCCTGTGTACATCTTCTTTTTTTCCCTATTTGTCAGAGAAGTAATGTTTTTCTGTCTCAGGTACCATGTGAAGCTTAATTCACAGTTTTGGCATTAATAATTTGTACTCTATGGTACGAGGAGTAGAGCCCAGATGTTTAAAAGAAGCCCAGCACCAAACTGCTGCTGCTGGGGAACTCACCAAGGCGAAAGGGAAGTTTCTTTCTTGCCAAAGCTGAAGATTTGAAAGGGCCATTTCATGTGCAGTTCTAACCACTGCTGTTCATGTCCCAACACACTGCAGACCAACACTGATTTGGCTTTTTGTCATAAATGGAAATGTGTTTGATAACAAGTTTGATAGCTTGGCCTTAAATTTCTTGGCTGTTTTGTTGCTTTTCATGACATCATTAACTTGGGCTGCTATCTCTTTAGTTCCATCTCATCTGGGCTGCACAGAGCTGTGCAGCTCTCAGCTTGCTTCCGAGAGTGTGAAAGGACAGAAACTGCTTTCAAAAATTACTGGAGATTTTCCTTCTCCCTGATCAGTTTCCCAAATACTCACACAAGTGAAACCTCTGATGTTTCTCCTAGAAGGGCACTCCAAAGGCTCTAGCAGATGTTTTGCCATTTATTGGCGTGGCCCTGCCTAGCATACGCTTTTATAGCTTCCTGACAGAGCACTTACATTAGAATTAAATGATGGGAATTTGAGTAAAAGAAACTTACTGATGAACAAAGGTGAGCCATTGTAAAGGAGAAATAATGGGTTGCTTAATCCAGGGCACTGAAGCATTTGAAAATGTACTTTGCTAGCAGATGTTTTGCCATTTATTGGCGTGGCCCTGCCTAGCATACGCTTTTATAGCTTCCTGACAGAGCACTTACATTAGAATTAAATGATGGGAATTTGAGTAAAAGAAACTTACTGATGAACAAAGGTGAGCCATTGTAAAGGAGAAATAATGGGTTGCTTAAACCAGGACAATGAAGCATTTGAAAATGTACTTTGTTGCAAATTGGAAAAGAAAGGAGTAAAAACCTGCCATTTGGGATTCAGGGGCCAGGCCAAAGCAGTCTCTGGACAGCTCAGCAGAACAGACCGTCTCTGCTACTGATTCTCTAGGAGCTGGCCCAGGGCAAGTTGTTCCATTGCTCCAAGTGGAGGCTGCAGTTCGGTGTGGATGCAGGGCCGTTACCTGGCCCCAGGAGCTCAGGACCAGAGGTTGAAATCCTACTCAGAATACCAAGAACAGATTGATTGGTCCCTTAAAACTATTTGTTTTGATAAACGTGAAGAAATTCAGTCGAATTTCAACTATTTTTGGTGGGAGGGGGAAGAGGTTTACTTAAATTTAAAATAGAAAGTTGATTTATACAACAACAAATGATGAAATGAATATGGAGTTCTGCATTTTGCAACTGGTCAAACAGACCATTTTGCAAATTCCCTACTTCCCCTTCCCCTGGTTTTTGAAATACTGCAGGAGCACCAACGTGTGTTTCTAAATTGCAAAATTCCAATGCGGCTCTATCCGTGTGGGTGCAGTTTTTCCTTGTAAAGGTGAATTGGCCTATTTTGACCCTTTCGTAGAAGGAAATAGCCCTTGCATTTCTTGTGATGCACTGTACATGTATCTTGCTCTGGTTAGAACAGGATCACTTTTCGGTGTAAAGGTTCCGTGGTCCAAGGCAGTGAGTTAAGGTGATGCCTTGTTTTGGTTCTGCTCTCTTCTAGGATTCCTCGTCCCTGTGCTCCCAGAAGGGTGGTGTGATAAAGCAAGGCTGGCTGCATAAAGCAAATGTAAATAGCACAATCACTGTTACCATGAAGGTAAGATTGATCCGGGGTCATATTCCTTGTGAATGGAGCACAGTCTCCTTAAGTGCAGAGCAAATCTCTAAAACTAGTGGAGTGCAGCTGTTGGGTTCCGGCTTGGATGCATGTCCATCCCTTTTGCAGAATATCTCAAATTACACTGGAAAACCCAGTTCGGAAACAGTGTTCCCTCCCCAGAATATAATGCTAATGCGCTGCAAATCGTGACAGGCAAGCTGGTCAAAAAGGTAAAGCACTTTCTAGTAAACCTCAGATTGTTTTCTGAGTGGGCAACTGAGATGCAGAATGGGAAAATTATTTAAATAACTGAAGCAGCTGCCCTACAAAATAGGCTTTCTGAATTGCTAGTTTCCTCCTCGGTAGGAAATATGCGTGGAGACCAGCTTTAAATTTAAATGACAAGTCTTTGCTTTAAAAGCAGGGATGATGTCACTGAGGAGACGGAGCGTTCCTGACCTAAAAAGCAACAGCTGCAATGTCTGCTGTTCTGTGTTGTGCATAATCTGGCGTGAAATTGCCCAGATTTTGCAGCGGACATTTTTAATAGCTTCAGCACATGTTTTTGCTCTGGTAATAAGTCAATATCTTCTTTTTCATGCAGCTGTCTTCTTACTACATAAAGGGAATATTAGGTAGTCCTGTTCAACTGTGGGCTGCTGCAAGGCTCTCTGCTTTTTTAGAATATTGGTAAATCTTAAAAAAAAAAAAAAAAATCAGTTGTTCTGAGGCTCAATCCAGTAAGTTACATATGAATGAGAAGCAGAGCCAGACAGTTCGTGTGCTCAAAGGTAGTCCTGTTCAACTGTGGGCTGCTGTAAGGCTCTCTGCTTTTTCAGAATATTGGTAAATCTTAAAAAAAAATCAGTTGTTCTGTGGCTCGATCCAGGAAGTTACATATGAATGAGAAGCGGAGCCAGACAGTTCATGTGCTCAATTTTAATCTGAGCTTTAAAATGGCTCCTTATGAACTTGAAGGCAGGATAGAACAGGGATTCTCTGCTTTTCTGAGTAGCAAGGTCAAAGAGCTGGACATTTCTGCCCCTGCCACTACCTGGAGGAGCTATCATTGATGTTCAAAACCGTTAGTTACGTGCGTGCTTGCCTGAGGTTCATGTAGTGCTTAATGATGGCCTCAGAGCCCAGCATCTAGACCCAGAGTTCAGCGATGGTGGCTAAACTACAGGGACTTTGTTCTGCTAATAAGGTCCATAGAGTCTCTAGCAAAACTTAAAAAAAACAAACTGCACAGAATCAGAGGCCGTTTCCTGAGCTGCCTTGCAAAACACCTCCTAAGGCAGGTGTGAGAAATGTAAGGATTTTGGAAGTCTTCAGGCTCGTTGGCACACTGAGAGGCTGTGCTCCTGCTGCAGAATCTTTTGGGTGCTGCCTGCCCATCTTTTGGGTGCTGTTTCCTCGCTGTGAGGTGCTCGGCTGCTGCTGCCTCTTCACGTGCTGCTAAGGATGTGCAGGATGGGTTTGGTGGTGAGTCAGCCTGCAAGTGAAATGTAATTAGACTACAGCTGCCTACCTTTATTTGAGAATAACCCTTCCTTTGAGAAGAACATCTCTGCTTGGCTAGGCAGTGTCTTACATTCCGTTCAGTCCAGTGTGCCACACTGCCATGGCATGAGGATTTTCTCTCTTTTTTCCTTCTGCCAAGATAGACTTCCAAGGTTCTCTAGGCATCCCTCTGCCATGGCCGTTTTCTCCACAGGCATCTGTAGCCTGATCCAAGGGGATATCCCCTCTATTCTTGGGTTTATATTATTCATACCAAACGATCAAAACCTTTTGACAATTATCTCTGCTGGCAGTGCCAAGATGATAGGCATAGTGTTTGGTGCTTGCTTCTGCACTTCCCATGAAGAGATCCAGAAGTTTCAAATGTTTTGGCATGAAATCCCATAGCTCATAAGATATTAGCCCAATAAAATCTGGAGAGAGATCTACCAGTCCAGTGGAATGCCTCTTGCAATCCCTATTGCCCTGGCTTCCCGTTTGATTCTCGTAGTAGTCATCTCCAGCAACTGTGAAACACTGTTCCTTACAGACTGGTTACACTTTAGTTGCTGCTGAAATGGGCTCCTGAATTATGGTCCAGTGTCTGCTGGACAGACAGAACCAGCTGATGAAAACAGGTTTGTAATTTTCAAACAGAAATGCAAGTGTGAGTTATACAAGTGTTACTTGGCTTGCATTCAGGCTTGCATTGCTTTGTAAAGAGGAAGGAGGCTGGAGCCAGCCCAGGGCTTGCACAGAGGCTGGTTCCAAAAACGAGCCTGTCACTAGGGTTTTGCAACACAATGAATACTCACATGGGAGAAACTTTGTGCTTCTGCAGGTATTCAAGAGGAGATATTTTTACTTGTCGCAACTCACCGATGGCTCCTATATTCTTAATTCCTACAAAGATGAGAAAATATCAAAGGAATCCAAAGGCTGTATTTTCCTGGATGCTTGCAATGACGTTGTTCAGGTAGGTGTGCTTTCTGCACGGCTGTACATGGACATGTGCCTTGCTCAGAGATGGAAATGCTTCTTTCAGGACTATAACTGAGAGGTGAGGGCTATGGATTTACAAAGTAAGTCAAAGCCCGTTTGCTTTGTCGGGCAATCTGATTAAAATCCAGGCAAGGAGTTGCATAACGGTGCCATCCCAGGCAATACACTGCTGCATCTAAGGATTTCATTGTCACCTTATCTGCTTTTTCCCTGCTGTCTGCCGCCTCCACCTGGTTATTGTAGGCCAGTACCTTGCAGAACGCCCTGACGTTTGGGGCCAGTATAAATTGGTGTGAATTAGTCTTGTGCACCTTCCTTGCCTGCTTGCTGCTCGCACTGCTTGTTGTTTCTTAGGGTATGCAAGCATGGAGCCCTTTGGTTCTTCCCAGCAGTAAAGACCTTGCAGGGTTAAAACCTGGAAGGAGCAGGAGTTTGTGTAGCACCTAAACTGCTTCGTTCTGCTGGTAGTGAAGGGCAGCAGTAAAGAGCTGCTCTGCCTTCTGCATCCAGCCTCTGCGCTGAAGCTCCAAGCATAGAGTGTAGAGGAGCGGGTGCAGGACAACATAAATTGCCCCAGCTGTTTGCTTGAGCAGAGATGAGTCAGAGCTGTGCGTTTCTGTAGATACTCATCTTTCTGAATACAGTACAAGCTATGCACATTGCTGTGCACATGCCTTGGTGATGTACAGGGTGTAATTCCCAGACTGCATCAGATTCACCTGGGCTCCTCATTGGAAAATGCTGTTCAAAGGCCAGGAGATCTCAGCAGAAAATTTGCATTGAGCCATTTTAGCTTTTACATAGATGCCTGTAAGTATCTTGGAAGGCAGCATTATTTACTGTTAGACAAATTCAGGTCCTCCCTTCCCTGGGTAAATTGCAGGTCTCATGACACAAGAAAACTTGGCCCTGTTTCTCCCAGTGCAGCCACTGTGGTTGAGTCTGCCTTGCTTTTACTGATGGGGCAGCTAGCCACACAGAGGCACGTGCTGCTTATTCCCAGCCATAAAGCTCTTTGCAATGGCTGCAGAAGATGTTCTGCTGTCAACAAGGATGTCTGTGGTGTTATATGATTTTAGTTTTTTATTTTTTCCCCGTCTCAATATTTCGGTTTACAGCGCCCTTGCTGACAGGAGGTTTCTAACAGGTACTGAGCTGAGTAGCTGTAATGGAAAGTGAGGAAAGTGTAATACAAGGTTTGCTCTTTTTGTTTGTTTGTTCAGTGTCCAAAAATGCGCCGTTACGCGTTTGAACTCAAGACGATTGATAAGTACAGCCACTATCTGGCAGCTGAAACGGAGCAGGAGATGGAAGAGTGGCTGGTGACTCTCAGAAAGATCATTCAGAGCAATGCTGAGAGTTTGGTGCAGGAGAAGAAAGATCCTGTGGAATCGGTGCAAGGTCAGTTTATAAAGAAGTACCTGTGTTCACCCTTCTCCAGCAGGATGCAAACAGTGTGCCTGTAGAATTCCTTTTATTTCTGGATTAATAGGAAGAATTGTGTTAACCACAAGCCGAGTGAAACGTGACCCTTCCTCTGGGTGGGAAATCCATGGCACAGTTCCAAGATTCCCGGAAAATTGGCCCTGAGATAAAATGCTTCTTTAAAAAGACCAAGAAGGGTGTAACTGTACGCTCTGGTACTAGTAATGTATGGGAAAATCTTATTCCTGAGGAATAGAAAGGTCTTAATGAACTGTTCCTGTGCTAGCTGTTGTAAACAAATGTTGCAGGGTGCTCTCTGGCAGCCAGGACTAAGAGGGTGCTCCTGCAATTGTCTTGGACATCTCCTGTTTTTGTATCCCTACAGATGATGAATCGAGTACCCAGGGAAAATCAGAGAACATCCTGGAGAGCCTGGAGAGGAGCATGCATCCGGAGCTGATGAAGGTATTCTGTTTGCAGGGCTCGCTTTTCCAAGCCCATAGCTAGTTTTCTCTCACTTCCACAACGTGGAAAAGGATTTTCCACATTCTGTGACATGCTGTGGGTCAGTCCCAAACTGCAGCTCCGGGGAAGCTGGGCAGGCACTGCATGCTGCTGCTGTCTGCAGCGCTTCATCTGCCCAAGGATGGAGCTAGGATAGTTCTTGGGATTGCCCCACAGATAACTCCACACTTCTTCACAAAGAAGAACCAGACTTACTGCTAGAGTAGGGACATTGTGGTTAGTATTGGTCACTCCTGCTCCACAGGGATGACTGTCCTGGGTAAAATTGCAGAGCAGAGGTTTTGTGGCACCTTGTACATGGTACAGAGAGTAGCTGCCTGCTTCTATCTCTTTTCTTATTTAGCAGAGCCACATTGCCTTAGTCACAGTGCAGCACTAATGGGTGCAGTGAGAAGCCTTGCATCCTCTCACATATCACAAGGAAGACCTGCAAAATACTTATTTTGTTTTGCATCTGTTCTTTTCAAACACAAATGCTTGCATCTGTGTAGCCAGGCACTAATATCAATGCTTTCCTTTGTCCTAGTATGGAAGAGAAACAGATCAGCTGAATAAACTGAGCAGAAATGATGGAAGACAAAACCTCTTTTCTTTTGACCCAGAAGTCCAGGTAAACATGCCCCTGTTTCTCTCCCTCTAGGAGCCTCCGTGGCAGTTTGCCTCCCCCGTTCCCTTGCATGGCTGCAGCGTTCACCTGCAGATGCAGAGTCTCTTTTGGTGGAATGAGGATGGAAGTGCAGCCCATGCCCTGCCAAGGAGTGCAACAAGCAGGGGTCTGTGCCCACCTCCCTGCTGTGGCAGGAAGAACTGCACGTGTCCATGCTCAGCTGGAAAAAGGGACACAACAGTTCCCTGGGTGGCCTCCTTCCAGCTTTCCTGGTTTCTATATAATGCACCTTGATGCTGCTGAATGACAAATCCATCCTCTGGACCTCTCTGCTGCATGGGCTCAGCACGACCAGAATACAGAGCTGTGACATTAGACATGATCACAGGGATTTATAGGAACAGCCTCATGTTCCAGAGAGCTGGCAAATGTAGGGTGGAATACAAGTTTGAAGAATACCGCATGCTGTTGTCATTGCACTGGAGCATCACTGCTTTCTTCTCAGCTTTGGCGTCTTTGCTGGCCTCTCTGCCCAGGCCCAGGTGTGGGATTTCAGTGGAAGGAGTTGCAATTGTTAGCACGGTTTTAGAGAATTGTTCCAAGTTATTTCGTTGTTTCTGGTTTTCTTTCTGGCGTGCCTTAGCTTGTTCACACCTGTGAAAAAGAACATTCTAGTTGAACGGGAAAGTGTAATTAGTTTTCTGAAAGCTTTAGTTACACCAAGCAAGCTTTTGTCTCGCTATTTCCTTAGGTCCCAGGCTCATCTTTTATTTTTTGTGTCATGCAGGAGGTTTTTTTGAAGAGAAATTTTGAAAAGTTTTCTATATTCTAGTTCAGATGTTAAAAGTGGAAATATCCTTCAGTGGAGTGCACAGAGAGTCTAATACACATTTTTTTTTTCTAACCAAATTTAGGGCTAAGTTGAGTGTGCCCTTTCTGTGTACACAGAGCTCTTCATTATGGTGTGGGTCAAAGAGCTGCTGTGACAGCTCCAAGATCACTGTCCCAGTGAATGCTGGTGTTTATGTGTATGCTGGCATGCCTGGTGCTAAGAAGACTGGGGGAGAAAACGTACCTGCAAGATGCTTTCCTCTAGAAAGGAAATTGGAAGAACAATGGGAAAACTTTCCCAGGAATTGGATGAACAGTTGCAGCCTGTTTTGCTGAAGCTACGCGGTTGTGAGAAAGCAGCGCCCTGGGTTTGGCCTGCTGGTTTCTGCAGGATGCGAGGGGGAATAACCAGCAGGATTGTGCCAGGTCCTCCCGGGGGACGTGCTGCTGTGCTGGGGTGTTTGGTGGCTGTGACCCTAGTCCAGCGGAGAGCAGCTCTGGTGAGGGCTGAGGATCTTGATCTTGCACACAGGATCTTGGCTTCATTGATGTCTGCTGTCTGAGGAGGTTTGTGTCGAGGCATGGACCAGCCATGGATGTTCTTGGTTAGGAAAGACATGGTTATAACCAAGACTATTTGGATTTCCCAGACAGTTCTGCAGTCTTTGCTGTTTCCAACCGTGCAGGTTATTGCTGTGCTAGAAACACCTTATGGTTTGAGAGGTTTGAGATGTTGTTCGCAATCCCAATGGCTTGTGCCTTCTCTCTATTTCAGGCACAGAGACCATCTCTAAAGTAGTCAGATCTTCAAAGTGGAAGATACTTTTCTGAGTGTAACGACGGCTTATGTTCTGCTTTCTTCCCCAAGCTCTAAATGGCGTTTGGGAAGATCCCCAGGGTTACAGCAAAGCAGGAAGGAACTGAAATCATACTGAGGTTTAGTTTTCTGTGCTCTAAAAACCAGATGGCTAAAAAATGATGCATCTTCATGAGTTCATGTTCTGAATGCATTTGTGTAACATCACCAAATGGCACTCATTTGTGAATGTCCTGTACTTTTTGTACCACTTAAAAAAAATTGGTATAGTATAGTAAATCGTATTGGCTGTAATGTGATCCCTTAACATTATTCAGGGCTTTATTTTCATTTTTAATGAGGCCAGACTTGTTTGTTTGCTGTCTAGAGGCTGGACTTCTCCGGAATGGAGCCGGACGTGAAGCCGTTTGAGGAGAAGTGCAGCAGGCGTTTCGTGGTGCTCTGCCAGGGCTTGGCCCTCAACCTCCTCGCCCAGCTCAACGACGGGTCGGAAGGAGGACCCACCAACGTAAGGAGAGCTCCTGCATCACCAGCTTTGCCTTCTTGCCCCTGTCAAGCAGCAAAATCATACGGCAGATTCATGTGGATGGATAAGAATGTCCTATTCTGCCATGAGCTCTGATGGGACCTGAACTTGATGCTAGGTCCTGACATGCCCTAGGTCTGCCGGGAGCTGGGACCACTGTGAGACCAGCAGTTTGGTGGCACCGGGAGCACATGTCAGTGAGGTTCAGGGCGCCTGTTAAAATCCTGTTGGTAAATGAGTAAGCACAATCTCCAGACCACTCACTGCTGTGTTTGATTTCATTTCCTCTCATGTAAGGAGTTTCCCTGTTCTGGGACCTTCTTGTGACTCCCAGCCTGGCTGTATTCATGGCCATTTTATTATCTGCATTTATTTTAATGCTAGTGTTGTGCTTTAGCCTAAAAAGCTCTGCCCTGGCTTTTCTGAGCCCCTGATGTCTGTAAAGAGCAGTCGTATCCCTGCTTGGCCTTTGCTCCGCCAAGCTGAGCAGACCAGGCTCTCCCAGCCTTCCCTCCCAAGCCCTGTTCCACGTGGGCTAGTCCTGAGTCCCTCCAGGACAGGCAGAGCCACGGGGAGTCCCCAGTCTCTGCAAATGGCACCTCTTGTGGTATTTGTTAGAAATGCAAAAGCTTTTTTCATGATGGTTGCACAGTGGCACTCACGGTCCCCGTGGGATCAGCCAGTGCAGCAAGCTGCTGCTCAGCTGGGGAGGGCTCTGCCCACAGCAGAGATTCCTGTTATTAATCCCTAATCACACCCAGCGCAGGAGCTAATCAGAGCATTTTTAGTATTGATGTAATGCCTCCAAGTTATGCTGTAATGTCTCAGGAACACTGCTATCTTCGGGCCTTTGCTTTTATCTTTACATGGAAGAAGGCCTGCTAGGGTCTTTTGAACTAAAAATACGCAGAACTGTCAGCGTTTGTGTTGTGCTGCAAAGGTCAACAGCTTCAAAGCGCATTCAGCTTGGGGTGAGATGGCCTCCCGAGGGGCAAGTCTTACACAAGCAGCTCCAGAACACTCCTGACCTTGTATTTGAGCTTGGTTTGTGAGCTTCATTTGAGGTGGTTTGTGCTGACTTTCCTTCTGTGCCCCAGTGCTAGAGCCCAACAAACATCTTGTGTGTCTTGATAGCAGATAGCTGAGGAGGGGCAGTGCTGAGCTGATTTACTTGGGGATAGTGGCATGTGACGTGGTCCTCAGCATGTGAACATAAACACTCTTCAGTTGAATTATTTCTCATTGCAAAGGATAAACTGTTTTAACTGATGGATCGGGGTCATCTTTTCTTCCTGACCTCATAGTTTACCAGTTACATAACCCCTATGGATTCCCCTCTTAATTTATTGATGGCTTTAAAATAAACTTTGTTTAAATTAACTAGACTAAAATGCAAGAATACACAACAAAAAATGTATGTGTTTATAGAGTAGATAAGTATGCAGTATTTGTAAGAATCTTCAAGGTAAAAACCAAAGGGACAAACAGATGCCAAAGACAAGCTCAGCGAGCAAAGCAGTGCAATATTCTTGACCCTGTACCATACATCTTTTTGACACATGCATTCCATCAAACTTCTAGGTGGAGCCCTTTTTCCTAAGCTTGGCATTATTTGACCTGAAAAATAATTGCAAGATTTCAGCTGACTTCCACGTGGACTTGAACCCTCCGTGTGTCCGTGAGATGTTGCTGGATAACTCCGCACCCGGGGCAGAGGGCTCCAAGGGGCGACCGCCGGGCGAGAGTCTCGTGCATGGAGTCCCCGAGTCCTGTCTGCGCTACATAAAGCGGGTAAAAAAGTGACTTTCTCCCCTCCATCTGCCTCTCTGTTGCTGCTGGGGCTGAACGGGTTTTGCGTGGGCTGCAGGAGGAGAGCAACGAGTGGCTGGGTGCCAAGTCCGATGGTACAGGCAGCTTTCTGACAACCTGCCGTCTGCTTGTTGTAGGGTGTTTTCTCTGTGACTGACCCTCACGTGGAAATCTTCCTGGTGGCCCGCGTGGAGAAGGTGCTGCAGGGCAGCATCACGCACTGCGCAGAGCCGTACATGAAGAACTCGGACCCAGGAAAGGTATCTGGTGGGGCTGTGGGAGGATCTTCTTAGTGATGCTGCCTGTTGCTCCTTGGAGTCGTGTGGTCTGGAACACGGGATGTTTTCACTGTTCTTTAACTTTCCGTCTGGCAAATATTAGTCTTCATCCATCCTGCTACCTGTGCTGCTCCCAGGCTGGCATCAGCCAGGCTGTCTTGGGGGAACT